ATGCCTGGCCTTTTGTGGGTTTTTGCATAGATTACACCAATATCTTCTTTGGTTTTTTGGAGACAGGGTTTCACTATGCAGTTCAGGCTGGCTTTGAACTCACTTTGTAGCCCAAGCTGGCCTCAAACTCACTGGGATTACAGGTGTGCGCCACCATGCCCGGCTCTACACCAGTATCCTTTTTCCTCATCAGGCTTCCATTCTTCAGCCTGAAGCATTCATTGATACTTTTAACCTCTAAGATGTTGCCAAATCTTGTATGGTCCCCATTCCATCTACATTTTTTGTGGACTAAAGTTCCTATTTAATTCAAAGAGCTATAATCCATTACTATTGTTATATTGTATATTTGTTTAATTAATTGTTAGGCAGGAGCTTGTGCCACTGAGCTATATCCCCCAGAATTTTATGATTTTTTTTTTTTTTTTTGGTGTGTGTGTGTGTACTAGGAATTGAACTCAGGACCTTGTGCTTGCCAGGCAGGCACTTATACCACTGAGCTATATCTCTGACCCATGAGGCTTAAAAATAATTTTTGTTTTATTTATTCATTCATTCATTCATTCATTCTTTTGTCTTTTTTTTCAGACAGGGTTTCTCTATACAGTTCAGGCTGCCTTGAGCTCACTTTGTAGCCCAGGCTGGTCTAGAACACACAGTGATCCTCCTGCCTTAGCCTCCTGAGTGCTGGGATTATAGGCGTGTGCCACCACACCTAGCTAATTTTTTTTTTTTTCCCCCAGCTAATTTTTGTACTTGTCTTTTTTACTTAATGTATCCTAGCTCACTCCCTATTTGGTTTTTTGTTTTCTGGTTGCATTATACTGTGTGGGAGTTCCATAGTTCATTCAACCACTCTATTTGTGGGTACTGAGTTCCTTCCAGTAATTTGCAGTGTTACAGTGAATAACCTTGTGCATATATATTTTTATTTGTGGGAAGTATATTTTTAAGATACAATCCTAGAAGTGAGATTACTGGGTCAAAAAGTAAATCCAAATTGGCAACATATATTGCCAAATTCCCTGCATAATGGATATATCAGTTTTTTTTTTTTTAGTCAGCAACGCAGGATTGTGCCTGTTTGCCTACAGCCTTCTTAGATACACACACACATACGCAAACACAATTTATATCTGTTTCTACAGCATGCTTTATTATACGTCTTAATTTGTGCTAATCTAATAGGGAAGATTGAAATCTCAGTGTAGTTCACTGTGCGTTTTCTCTCTTTAGTGAAGTTGAATGTCTTTTCATATGTTTGAGTCATCTTGTTTTTGCGTTGTTTGTTGGTTTGTTTGTTTTTGATGGTCTCACTATATGGTTCAGACTGGCCTTGAACTCATTATATAGCTCAGGCTGATCTTGAACTCCTCCTACCTCACCCTCCTAAGTACTGGGATTACAGGCATGTGCCGCTGTGTCCAGCTTGTTTGTTTATTCGAGACAAGGTCTTGCTATATAGTTCAGGCTAATCTTGAACTGACTACGTAGCCCATGCTGGCCTCAAACTAACAGCAGTCCTCCTCCCTCAGCCTCCTGAGTGCTGGGATTGCAAGCATCCACTACCAAGCCCAGCTGTTTGAGTCATTTTTTGAAAAACTTTATGAATTGCCTGCTTATGTCTTTTGTATATTTTTCATGTAGGATTTTGGTGTTTTTCCCCTCTAAGGTTGTACAATTTCTTTTTTTTTTTTTAAACAATTTCTTTATGTATTAGACAAATTGTATATTTCAGTTGAATTTTTTCATTCTAGTATTTTTTCTGTATTTTCCCTCTGGAATTTATTTTGGTATAAGGAATGAGTAAAAGGCATCATCTCAACATTATTTCTAATACGCTTTTTTATTTGTTTGTTGGTTTTATTGAGACAGGGTCTCCCTGTGTAGTTCATGCTGGCCTTGAGTACCCTATAGCCAGGCCTGCTCTCAGACTCAATGGCAATCCTCCTGCCTCAGCCTCCTGAGGGTTGGGATTACAGGCCTGTACCACCATACCCCACACAAACTTTTTCTAAAAATTGAGTTTATTGGTACAATTTAGATATACATAATGGTCACATTCATCTTAGGGAATTCATACCTGTACATGCTATATCTTGATTCCTTTTTTTTCCCCATTTCCCCCCCACCTCCCTTCAACCCCTCCTCCTTCCTTATTTACAAAGCTTTGTTTCCATTTTATCCTGCTTGCAGTTTTTTTCTTTTCCCTTCCTTCCTTTAGACTTCCTTCCTTTAGACTGGGTCTCCCTAAATTGCCCAGACTGGCCTTGAATTCACAGTACTCTTCCTGCCTCAGCCTCCCAAGTGCTGGGATTACAGGTGTGTGCCGCCATACCTGGCCATTTGGATTTTGTTTAGTATTGTGACCAGTGTCATTAGCGTGGAACCACTGTGCTTTCTGTCCATCTCTGGCTGCCAGTACAGTCACTTCAGGCCTTTGGGGCGAGTTTATTACCTTCAGAGATGTTCAGTGAGGCACATGGTGGGTTATGGTTAGACTGGTGGACGTGCAGGTTGTGCTCAGCTTTCTTCTTCTCCCTAGGATGTTCTAGAAGAATGCCTGTCTCCTCCCAAGCTGTCTCCTTACTCTGGATGGGTGGTGGATCATGTCCTACCCTACACACAGGAGAGTCTCGCTCCCCCTGAGACATCGTCCTCGGGATCGGCATCTGCTCTAGACCAACCCTCACTTGTCCCCAGATCTCCCGTCCAGAGCGCTGCCTTCTCTCCAGCCTCCCCCACAGCTCTGGATGTACCCAAGGTAAAGCTGAATTAGCCTAGGACAAAACATGGCGGCTACAGAGTTGAAGTGTTCAATGCTGTCCCATGACAGTGACCTTCTCCGGAGGAAGTAACAGTTGTTTCACGTTACAGCTGGGGCAGGGGCTAGTGTTTAATACATCAGTCAGTGTTCTCTCAGGAAGCTGTGGAGAAAACCCCCATTACTGGTACCAAGAACAGGTATCAGTTCCATGAGCAACTGGATTGTTTTTTCTCAGGAATATTGTATCTGTTTAACTATTGGCTGCTGAAAGGTTTAGAGTAAAATTTATATTTGCTCTTACATTTACCTCTCTTACTGATTGTAGTGGTTTAATCTGTAATCCCGGCTGCTCAGGTGGCAGAGGTAGGAGGATTACAAGATCGAGATCATCCTGGGCAATTTTTGTAACAACTAAAACTCATAGCCCTCCCCCCCCCCGAAAAAAAAGAACCTGGACATAAAACTCATATCATGTTTAGTGTGGTTTAATTTTTTTGAGACAGAGTCTTTTTTTTTGGGGGGGGGGTACCAGGAATCGAACTCAGGACCTTGTGCTTGCAGGCAGGCACTTGTGCCACTGAGCTATATCCCCAGCCCTGAGATAGAGTCTTGGTCTGTAGTTCAGGCTGGCTTAAACTTACTATATAGCCCAGGCTGGACTCAAACTTGTGCCTGTCCTCCTGCCTCAGCCTCCTGAGTGCTAGGATTACAGGTGTTTGCTACAACACCTGGCCTAAACATCGTATGTGATATAAAAATTACAAAACGATCAGTGACTTAAAGATAAAGCAATAAGCCTACTAGAATAAAATATAAAGCATAACTTGTAAAAGGAAAAATTGATAAATTGGACCTTGTTAAAATGACAGTTTTTGTTCTGTGAAAAAGTCTTTGAAGAGGATATAAACAGATACAAACTGGGAGAAAGCAGTTGGAAATTTCATCTCTATACTTAGAATATATTATATAAAAAGCTCTCAAAATTTTTAGAAAAGGGGCAAATGATGTGACCAAACATTTCATCTAAAACAGTGTAAGATGATCAAGAAGGATGTGGAAAGGTGTCCAACATGAGCTGGTAGGAAACGAAAATCAGAAGTGCAGTGAAGTATGACACAGCTGTAAGAAGAGTTGAAATAAAAACAGCTGTATCACCAAATTCTGGTGAGGAATGGAGGATCTGGATCACACAGGTTTAGGATTGAGACAGAGAATGGTTCCGTGCTCCAGAAAACCATGTGGCAGGCCAGGCATGATGGCGCACACGTGTAATCCCAGGGGGGAGTCTGAGGCAGGAGGATCACTGCTTGTTCAAGACCTGTGTGGACTACATACTGAGTTCTAGGCCAGTCTGAAATACATACCAAAACCCTGTGTCAACTTCTCCCCGCAAAATAAAAGATAAAATAGTTTGGCCATTTTTTATGGAATTCAACATGCTCTTAACTGTATCACCCAGCAGTTGCATTCCTGGGTATCTCCATCGGAGAAAACAAAACTTGCATTCCAGTAACAAGCTGTACATTAGTGCTCAGAGCAGGCTGTCGGAGCTTCCCGCAGTAGCCCACGCTGTGTTTCCTAGATACTGCGTGTACGTTTGTCTTTGCTCTTGTCCTCTTTTTCTCTTTACTTGGCCCAAGCTCACTCTGCAGAGCTGGTTTCTCTCCCACTCTTTACTTTTACTTTTTTGAATAAACTTTGCCACTGTTAAAAAAAAAAAAATTGTTCATAGCAGCTTTAGTTGTAAGATCCAAAAACTGCAAGGTAAATGGTTAAACACACTGTTTTGGATTATCCATATCATGACATTATTACCATCGATAAAAAGATGTGAATCTCCAGTATATGCAGCATGGATAGATTTCAAGGGTTGTATCTATCAGCTTTCCCATTGCTGAGACACAGTACCTGATGCCCACAATTTAGAAGAGGAAGGGTTTTTTTGTTGGTGGTTTTTTGACAGGGTCTTCCTTTGCAGTTCAGGCTGGCCTTGAGCTCACTTTGTAGCCCAGGCCGGTCTCAACCTTGCAACAATCCTCCTGCCTCAGCCTCCCGATTGCAGGTGTGCGCCGCCACGCCCGGCACGGAAAGCTCTGTGCTTTCCCAGTCCCCTTGGCAGCTCCCGAGCCAGTCAGTTTGACGTGACTAAGCTCCACCCCCACAAGGATAGTGTGTGGAGTTCAGGAAAGAGTGAGCTCATCTCAAAAGTTTATTACTGTATAATGCCACTTGTTTAACGTTCTTTTTTTTGTCGGTTGGGGGGGTACCAAGAATCAAACTCAGGATCTCATGCTTGCCAGGCAGGTACCACTGAGCTATATCCCCAACCCCGTTTAACATTCTTGAACCAACAACATTGTAGAGCTGGGGAACAGATTAAGGGTTAGGGATCAGAGAGGAAGTGGCCTGGCCACAAAGATGTACGGGCTGGGCTGTGTGGTGCATATTTGCAATCCCAGCTCTTTGTGAGGCTGAGACGGGAGGATTGCAAGTTCAAAGCCAGGGTAAAACTTACTGAGACTTGTCTCGAAACAAAATAAATACAAAGTCCCAAAAATGTAGCTCAGTGGTAGAGCACTTGCCTAACATGTGCAAGACCCAGAGTTCAATCTCTAGGAGTGAAGGGAAAAAAGAGATACAGAGCTTTTCCCTTACCACCAGACCTGTTTTATGCTTGTTTTTTGGCAGTCCTGAGGCTTGAATCCAGGCCCTCTAAGCAAGCACTTGATCGCTGAGTTACTTCCCCAACCCTTTTTATTTTATGTTGAACCAACATCTTGATGTGTTGCCCAGGCCAGTCTCAAGCCTGGTGACATTCCTGCCTCAGCCTTAAGTAGCTGGGGTTATAGGTGTGTGCCATCATGAGGCAAGATTTATGTGTATAAAGTGTGCTTATGTCTACACAAGTCTACATGTGATAAAATTGCACAAAACTGTAAATAAACACAAAGTCTTTCGAAATCTGAATAGGCCCTCTGGATTGGGCCAGGGCCAGTTTCTTTCAAAATTTTTTGTTTTGTTTTCTTTGTGTGTGGGTTTTTTTTTTGTTTTTTTTTTTTAAGACTGTTCCACTATGTAATTCAGCCTGGCCTTGAACTCACTTTGTAACCCAGGCTGGCTTCAAACTCACAGCAATCCTCCTGCCTCAGCCTCCCAAGTGTTAGGATTACAGGCGTGTGCTACCATGCCCAGTTCTTCCTGGTTTTATTCTTTTTTTTTTTCCAGTACTGGGAATTGAACTCACGACCTCGCGCTTGCCAGGCAAGTGCTGTGCCGCTGAGCTAAATCCCCAGCCCACTTCTTAGTTTTGATATTACTGTATATTTTTGAAAGATGGTGTGTTTGGAGGAGACTGAAAGAACATGCACAGGCCCTATACACATACTCTTGCAACTTTCTGTGACTTACAGTTATTTAAAAGTGTTTAAAAAGTCAGTATGATGAGCTTCTCAGTGCCAGCAGTTGTGATGCTGATCCTGCTGCTTCCCCTCTGGGTGCCTCAGTTTCTACATCTGTAAATCCGGCACTAGACTCAGCTGTTGGTCCTCTCTGGATATAACATTCCATAATTCTTTGAATTTAAATACATCCTTTTTTTTTTTGGTCTTTTTGAGACAGGGTCTTGCTCTGCACTTCAAGCTGGCCTTGAACTCACTTTGTAGCCCAGGCTAGTCTTGAACTCGCAGTGATCCTCCTGCCTCGGCCTCTGAAGTGCTGGCATTACAGGAATGTGCCACCACGCCCAGCCACGTAATTCCTTGAGTGATTTTATATACTACCTTATTTTATCATTAGGAATTAAGCAGAAGGGAATTGGGAGCGGTTTCGATTTAGAAAGTCAGTGTTTTTATTGCTCCCTGGCATTATTTTTGACTCTCTCCAGTGACCCAAACGCAGTGGGTTGCCTTCCATCTCTCCATTCTTCCAGTCTTCTTTTTATTTTCTTCCACACTCTTCTTTTTTTTTCTTCCACACGCTTCTTAGTTTTGTCTTGTAGCCAGGCACTGGGTGGCAGGTTGTCCTCATGGGAGTCCCACACTTAAGTTGTAGGTTAGCATCCCCTGAGAAAGAAAGTGCCAGGCTCACGGATGGCCCCAGCCTGGCGTGGGGCATGGACATCATTGTTCAGGTGGGTGCTGCGTACCAGAGGGGAGAGCACTTCAGGGTTAGGCTGGTCCTGTGGTTACCTCTCAGGCCAGGAGCGAAGTTTGGGGGTGTGGACAGGTGGATACGCACCAGAAGAGAAGGGGACGTTTATCGGGCAGAATAAAACAGCAGGCAAGCAGGCCAGATCAAAAACAGTAGAAAGCAACCCAAAGCAACAAAGCTCGGTTTATTAAAGAAAACAGTTTGAACAAGGTTGGTGTCATGGAAGGCACATGCTTCTGACCTAAGCTGTCTTTGGTATGGATGTTCACAGGTTGGATCTGATCTTTGTGTAGAAGACATGGCACTGACTTTACCATGTTAAAAATCCTAATTCTTGGGGCTGGTGATATAGCTTAGTGGCATAAGTACCTGCTTGGCAAGCGTGAGGTCCTGAGTTCAATTGGATTCAAGTACCAGGTAGATAGATGGATAGATAAATAGTTCTTTTTTTTTTTTTTTTTTTTGTACCGGGAATCAAACTCAGGACCTTGTGCTTTCCAGGCAGGCGCTTGTGCTGCTGAGCTATATCCCCAGCTAGATAGATAAATAGATGGATAAATCCTGAGTTCAATTCCCAGTACCAAATAAATAAATGAATAAATCAGTGCAATAAAATAAATCCTAATTCTTTTCCCACCTTCTGTCTCAAGGGCAAACAGGAGTCTCAGCCTACAGAATCCAAGGTGTTGAAGTCCTCTCGTGGGATCAATGTGGAAGTCTGCATCCGGATGTACGAACTGGTGCACAGAATGCGGGGGACAGTAAGTGACCCCGTGACGCGTGGCAGGCCTGGTCTGAGGGAGCCACTTTTACCTCAGCTCCCCAGGGTGTAGGGATGCCTGCTGTGCTGATCCTGGTGTCCCACCCACCAGGGCTCATTGGGTGCAATAGCATAATGTAGAGGTCAAGCCAGGTATGTGGCACATGACTAGAATCCCAACACTGTGGGAAGCTGAGGCAGGAACATCAAGAGTTTGAACCCATCCTGGACACCTTAGTGACTTAGTGAGACTCTGTCTCAAAATAAAAATTAAAATAAGGGCTGGGGATGTAGCTCAATGTGAAGGCTCTGGCATCAATCCCCAATACTTGCAGAAAAAAAATAGAGGTCTAGAGTGAGCTCTTTAAAATCAGATCTTGTTTCACATACTAGCTTTACAGGCACACACCTGTAATCCCAGCACCTAGGAGGTTGAGGCAGGAGGATCACCATGAGTCCGAGGTGAGCCTGGCCTACATAGTGAGTAGCTGCCACAAACTTGCAGCAGTCCTCCTTCCTCAGCGTCCCAAGTTTGGGGCTACAGGCATTTCTTTTTCCATTTGAGGTGAGATCTCAGTATATTGCCCAGGCAGGCCTCAAACTCCTGGGCTCAGTGATTCTTCTGCCTCAGCCTCCTTATTATGAGCATTTTCTTCTTATCCATTTGTTTTTTCAGAGCATTACACTCATTTTAAATCATGCTAGAGTGCTTTTTTTTAGATTCGCTTGTATTCTTTGAAATATTTTTTTCTTGAGGTTCCTCATTTTCCATTTGTTCATCTTGATCTCCTCATACAATGTAGAAATTCCACCCTTTTTTTTGGTCTTTTTGAGGCAGGGTCTCGCTGTGCAGTTCAGACTGGCCTTGAGCTCACTTTGTAGCCCAGCCTGGTCTCGAACTCACAAGAATCCTCCTGCCTCGGCCTCCTGAGAAATTCCACACATATCTAAAGATGGTTATTACCAGAAAAAAAGAAAGGTGGTTCTTACCGCCAGGCATGGTGGTGCACACCTGTCATCCTAGGACTTGGGAGGCTGAGGCAGAAGGATTGCCGCAAATTTGAGGCCAGCTTGGGCTCCATCCTGAGTTCAAGCCCACCCTGAGCTACACAGCAAGACTCGGTGTCAAAAAACAAGCCCCACAAAAGTAAAGATGGTTACTTACCAGTGGTCAGACCAGGGGTTCAAGTAGAAAAGTCAGGACAGTGTTACTATGCTTTGAGACCTCAGTTCCCTGAGTACTCTGCAGAAAACCAGCTCCTAGACCAGAGGACATGCTCATGCCTGGACAGCCCCCACCCTTCCCACCCTTCTCTCCCCGCCTCTCCTGTGCTGCTTCCTGATTTTCTTTTATAGAGCCCCCCATTTTTCTTTCTCCATTTTTACAACTCCTTGTCTTTGGCTTGGAGTGAGGGTCTCCACCTGACCGTCCCAAACCTTGAGACTCGAAGCCGCTAGCATTCCCTACTGTCCTGCATCAGGGTCCCTCCGCTCGGCCGGGGCTCCCACGTGGGGCTGCTGTGCTTGGAGTCCTCACAGTGGTTGCCCTGTCTGGCTTTGGAGGTTCGCTGGGACCTCTGTTCTGCCTGTGTGTCCTGGGCTTCCTCGGCGTTGCTGTCAGGTTTCAAAACCAAGAATTCTCCTCCAGGTGTGGTGGTGCATGGCTCTTATCCCAGCTGTCTCTGCTGAGGCAGGAGGATCAAAAGTTTAAGGCCAACCTGGGCGGCAGAGGGGATTCCGGGCCACCCTCGACTGCAGGATGTGGCCCTGCCTCAAAATAAAACGCAAGCATCCAAAGAGAAGATGGCAGAGCTGCGTTTCCGTTTCACACCTCCCCTCCGAAGCCTGTGCTGGCGTATTGTGGCCGCATTCAGTTCTCCACAGTGCTGATAGAGGCCGGAAGACTCGGAGCGCTGGGTGACGACGTGCCAGGTGTTTTTAAAACAGCACCGATGCCTTGGTTTTCGCTGATCGGTCTGTTGACTGCGGTGGTGGCCCGAGTTGGCTGTTTTGTCGGCCCGCACTCAGCTCATTCTTCAGCCCTGCCCCAGGAGGCCTGTGCACGTCAGACCTGGCCTTTCCGGTCTCGGGCTCCCCTCGTGGCAGTCCTGTGCGCGTGCGCGTCTCCGTGCTGGCACTGCTGGGCTCTGCTCCACTGCTGCGCTTCTCTGCGCTCCCTGTCTTCGCAGCGTGTGACGGGCCCTGCCTGCGCCCCCCCGGCTCCGGCGTGTCGTTCTTACTTGGCAGCTCCCGCTCTCGTGGGTCTCGGAGGAGAGGAGAGGTGGGGCTTGCGTTCAGTTTGCCGTCTTACACTGAAAGCTTAAAATAAGTTTCATAGTAGAAGAAAATGGCTTCTTTCTCTTTTTGCTGTGGTGCTAAGTGTCCCCCAGCACCTCGTGTGTGCCGGGCCTGTGCCCGAGACTGGGCCATCCCCGTGTCCACGCACTGGCTCCAGGGGGGTCAGGTACGTGTCCACACCGGTGGTCCAGCAGCAGCTCGCCCTCCAGGAGCCCGCCCGAGTGCCCCGCGCTTCGGCTGCACGGGGTTGACTTCCTCGTCCCTGGCCCTCCCCTCATGTAGCTGCGTCACCTTCGGCAACAAGGCTGCAGGGAACATCCACGCCTGTAGGTCTTTGCGCGTGTGTGCAAGTTTTTCCTCAGAATAAATTGCTAAAATAGAGCTAGTGCCAGAGGATAAGTGCACTGTCCAATTTTGATAAATACCAGATTGCCCTTAAAACCATGAGAGTGTTCTCATGGAGAGAAATGCAGACACCCTTAGGTGTTTTTCCTGAGGTGTAAGGAAAGGGACTCTGCTCAGTGGAGGTGGAGGAGGGGCTGGGAGTAAGGTAGAGATGAACACAGTGTATTTACCTTTTTTGGGGGGGGTGGGTACCAGGAATTGAACTCAGGACCTTGCATTTGCCAGGCAGGCACTTCTGCTGCTGAGCTATATCCCCCAGCCCACACAGTGTATTTACAAAACTACAATAGAATAAGAGTGCTGGGTATGATGGCCCATGTCTGTAATCCCAGCACTTAGGAGGCTGAGGCAGGAGGATCTCTGTGAGTTCAAGGCCAGCCTGGGCTACAAAGTGAGCTCAAGGCCAGTCTGAACTGCATAGCAAGACCCTGTCTCAAAAAGACAAAAAAAAAAAAAGAGAGAGAAAGGGGGGCCTACTATAGTGCACCTGTGTTTAATCCCCAGTACTACAAGATAAAAATAGCATATGGTGTCTGAAGTACATTCCTAAGTACCTGTCCCTTCCCAGTGCGTGCTAGAATGCTACCACGTGGGGCAGGCTGGACCCACAAGAGAGCAGGCCTCAGTGGTCCCCAGGAGTGGGCGTATGAGTCTGGGCCCTCATGGTCTCTGAGGAGCTCAGGGCTGAGGGGAGGGTCGCGGAGGGCAGGGGAGCGTGTCGTGGGGACGGTCTTAGGGTAGGGGTGCTGCCTTCCAGGAGGGCCTGCGGCAGTGGCAGGAGGAGCAGGAGCAGAGGGTGCGCGCCCTGTCGGAGATGGCGTCGGAACAGCTGAAGCGCTTTGACGAGCTGAAGATGCTGAAGCAGCACAAGGAGTTCCAGGAGCTGCAAGAGGTGATGGAGAGGAGGTGAGCCCCGCTTCCCCCGCCGTGGTGTTGGGAAGGAAAGAGCTGAAGCCCTCAGAGCTGGCAGGGCAGCTTCTAACTGGCAAGTGGCCCGTGCAGTCCAGTGAGGAAGCCTGCGGGAGGAGCCCAGGCCTAGCAAGCACCCCTACCTCTTCCTCTCCGCTGTTTCCATGCAGCACCAGGGAAGCCCTGGGCCACCAGGAGAAGCTCAAAGCAGAGCATCACCACCGAGCCAAGGTCAGTGGCTAGGGGTGGGCAGTGGGCAGAATCTCTGTGCCCAAGGGGTGAGCTTTGCGGCCCTGCCTCTGTGTCCAGCCTTGGGAGTCCTGGTCCCACTCTGAGGCAGTCTAGGCAGGAGCCCTGGTGACCCCAGCTGGCCCTGTGCAGATTCTCAACCTGAAACTGCGTGAGGCCGAACAGCAGCGCCTGCGCAAGGAGGAGCAGGAGCGCCTGCGCAAGGAGGAGGGCCAGGGCCGCCTGCGGAACCTCTACGCCCTGCAGGAGGAGGTGTTGCAGCTCAACCAGGAGCTCGAAGCCTCTGCCTGCAGTGCCTCTGACCTGCACAGGGACCTGCTGCAGGTCGACCTGGCGGCCTTCCGCACCCGTGGCAACCAGCTATGCAGCCTCATCTCCAGTATCATCCGCACCACCTCGGAGGTGAGGGCAACCCAGGGACTCCTCTGCCTTGGAGTGGGGGCCGGAAGTGCAGTGTGTTTTCTGATTGAAAAGCAGTACCTAGGCTGGGGTGCAGCTCAGGGGCAGAGCACTCACCTAGAGTGTGCCAGGTTATGGGTTCCACCCCTCAAAGTAATGCCTGCTTCCTAGAGGAAGCAATAGTTGCTGCTGTCACCTCCTTGCCCAGAGGCAACCATAGTAACATTTTTTTTTTTTTTTTTTTTTTTTTTTGTACCGTTTTTCTCTGGTACCGGGAACCGAACTCACGACCTTGTACTTGCCAAGCAGGCGCTTTTGCCACTGAGCTAAATCCCCAGCCCCTCATAGTAACATTTTCATATGTTTTTTTTTTTTTTTTCTTTGATTCTTATTTTATGTCTTAAGTTAAAAAATTTTGTTTCTAGCCAGGTATAGTGGTGCATGCCTATAATCCCAGCACCTGGGAGGCTGAAGCAGGAGGATTACTGTGAGTTCAAGACCAGCCTGGGCTACAAAGTGAGCTCAAGGCCACCTTTAACTGCATAGCAAGACCCTGTCTCAAAAACAGACAAAAAAGTTACCAACTTGAAAGGGTAGGGTTATTTATTTCATTTTGCTTTTGATCTAAAAGTTTTTTTCAACTGGATTTAACTTTGTTTTATAATGATATAAGACAGATTTCCAAAGTGTGAGCTGCAAAACAGAGTATATGCAGAGAAGTCTAGCTTCTTTTTCTTGCTGTCCTCTTGCCTCAACCTCCGCAGTGTTGGGATTGCAGGGTGTGCCACTGTGCCCGATTTTCTACTCTGTTCTTGTCCTCTCTGCAAAAGACAGTTTCTTTCAGCTTTTGGATATTATGTCTGTTGTTTAAGTATGAAAGCAAGGCTCAGTGTGGTAGTGAAGTCTGTAATGCGAGCACTCGGGAGGCTGAGGCAAGAAGATCACAAATTTGATGCCATCCAATACTCCCAGGATGAAAGGTCACCTGCTGTTCCGTGCCTTGCTGTTTTTGTACTAAGCAGTGTATCATACAGATCAGTGCTTAGCAGCATGTAAGGTGGCAATCATTTCTTTATGCAACTTTCATATAAGTGCATAGTTTTCTGTTGTGATTTTTTTTAAAAAAAAAAACGGGAATTGAACTCACAACTTCATGCTTGCCAGGCAGGTGCTTGTGCTGCTGAGCTATATCCTTGGCACCGTTTTTGATTTTTTTTTTTTTTTTTAAGTTTTTTATTTGTTTGTTTTCTGTTGTGGATGGAAATTAGACATCTGTCCTGCCAGCATCATTCATGACTTTTTTGGGTTTCTTCATCCTTGGGGATTGAGCATCTACCACTGAACTACAGGCCCAGCCCTTTTTATTTTTTATTTTTATTGTTTGTTTGTTTTTTGTTTTGTTTTTTTGGGTACCAGGAGTTGAATTCACAACCTTGTACCTACCAGGCAAGCACTTGTGCCCCTGTGCTATATCCCTGGCTAATTTTTATTTTGAGACAGGGTCTTGCTAAATTGCCTAGGTATGACTCAAATTTGTGAACCTCCTGCTTCAGCCTTCCAAAGTGTTAAAGTGTGCACCACTGTTCCTGGTTGACATTTTTAAATAATGTGACCAAAATTCAAAATATTCTGGGAAAAGAAGTTACAAATACAATGGAATATAAAATACCTAGAAATAATTGAACACAAAATAGATGTGGTTTACATAATAGAAATGCTGTGTTATTTTAGATTTATAAAACGAAATTTAAGGTCGGGTGTGGTAGCGCACGCCTATAATCCCAGCCCTCAGGAGGCTGAAGCAGGAGGATTGCCATGAGTTTGAGGCCAGCCTGGGCTACAAAGTGAGTTCAAAGCCAGTCTGAAATGCATAACAAGACCCTGTCTCAGCAATCAATCAATCAATCAATCATTGAAACTTGAATGATTGGGTTAATAATATTTCTGAAAGTTTGACAAAGTCAGGTATGAAATATGCCCCAAAACATATTAGGCCATCTCCAGATGATTAGTGATGAAGGACTTGTGTTACCAGCGTAGTAAAAGTGAAAGCAATTTGTTCTTGCCAAGGAGTAGACAGAGAATTAGCAGAATGGAATAAGCAAGCCCAGGAAGATTTTTGTAGGTAATTAACACATAGTTGTGTGTTGTGTAATGACAGGGACACCTTCTGAGAAATTTGTTAGGCAGTTTCATAGTTGTGCAAACATAGAGTGCACTTAACAAACCTAGAAGAGTCATTAGCTGACAGAATCTTATTGGACCCCTCCTGTCTATACCATCTGTCCTTGACAGAACCGTCATTATGTGGAGAATGACTGAATATTACCATTTTATGTGTGTATGTGGATACACGTAGTAATGTTTCTTAGTGCTTGTGGTCAGACCTAGGCTTCCCATGTACTAGGCGAGTGCTGTGCCACAGAGCTATAACCCCAGCTAACACTTTACATCTTCAAGGAAAGGGCCAGGACCGCGTCTCTCTGTGAACAGGTGGCAAGACTGTCAGGGCTGGGGAGTAGCTCAGTGGGCAGCACTTGCCTCTCATGCTCAAGGCCTTCGGCTCCATCTCTAGCGTTGCAAAAACAAAAAGAAGAGAGGGAAGCCAGACCATGTATGTGTACATGCATATGTATATGAATATATGCATATGAAAATATAAGTATGAATATGTGTATATGAATATGTATGTGAATATGTATATGTGCATACATATATATTTTAAAACCAATTTCTGGAGCTAGGGATGGATTTCAGTGGTAGGCTGCCTAGTATGTGCAAGGCCTGTGTTTGATTCCCAGGACTACAAAATATAAAATCAGTAAAGGAAGGATCAATTATATAGAGAACTGATTGATACATAAAGATTGAATTTATACCACAGTTTCATCTTATCCCATATTTCTTGGGTATTTAAATTTAAAAGTATAAGGTATAGAGACTCTTTGTAAGCATAGGAATAAAAACAAGTCATAAGGGAAAAGTTGATATGAAAACAAACATTGAGAATATTACAAATTTGGAAACATTTGTATAAGTACTGTGCTAAGGGTGGCGCCACTGGAGCTTTTAGGAAATATTTGTAACATACATACTAGAACAGACTTTGATGTCCTTGTTACAAACTTTTGGACCTTTTTTTTGGTACTGGGAATCAAACTGAGGACTTATACTTGTGCCGCTAAGCTGTATCCCTGCAAACTTTCAAGAAATGACTCTGGCCAGTTCGCTGGGAGCCTGCAAGCTCAGATACCTGGGGTGCAGTGGTAGATCTTTCAGCAGACAGGAAGCGATGCGTCTGAACATGCCCAGCGCAGGTTCTCGGCTGGCCCAGCCGCCCCAGGCCAGAAGTCCCTCACCTTGTGGGGTATGATTGAACCCTCAGGGGCCCCTGGGGACTGACTGCCACGCCCCATGTCCCTCCCTCCGCAGAGTGGCTACCCCACGGTGGAGAACCAGGCTGAAGCCGAGCGGGCCCTGCAGGAGATGCGGGACCTGTGCACCAGCCTGGGCCAAGAGATCAGCAGAGCCTGCCAGGACAAGAGACAGGAGGAGGAGGCGTCCCAGGCCAAGCTCCAGGAGTCACAAGCGCAGCAGGGGCGGCTGGGGGCCACTCCACAGGCAGCAGGTCCCAGCCAGAGCTTGGGCAGGACTCAGAGTGAAGGTGGGTGTGGTATGGACACAGTCTTCGATTCTAGCAGATGCATTATTCCCACTACATCTAGAATAATGCTGGTGCTTAGCGTTTTGAGAAAACAGGTACAGATGTATGTAATGTCCACTTAGTATGTGTGAGAAGTGTAGAGCCTAGTGTTTGGAGGCGGGCTCTGGAGCCTGAGCAGAGAAGTCTGTTTCTACCTCTGAGCACTGTCGCTGTGGCGAAGCATTTAACCTTTCCGTACCAGTTCCTTTATCCATGAGTTGGAGCTAATCCCGATACCTATTTCACAATGTTACTGCGCTCATGAAAGCAGCGCTCACATCAGGAGTGAGTGCCACACTCCAGCCCCTGTAACAGGCTCTGAACCCTCACTGCTATTGAAGTCTGTCTTCTGCTGCCCAGGCTTGCAGGTGAAGGTGCAGGAGAGTACGATGCAGTGGTACCAGCAGCTGCAGGATGCGGCTGCCCAGTGCGTGTCAGCCTTTGAGGGTCTGACCAGCAGCAAGGACACACAGGTAAGGAGCAGTGGGTGGCAGGGTGGCAGGCCTCAGTTGCCCCTGGAATTCCCTAATCCTCAGGGCATCTGCTTGGCCCTTCAGCACACTCTGCCTTGTCACTGTTCTCCTCTGGCAGACCAAGAAGATAAAGATGGGCCTGCAGAAGGCCGCCACCATCCCTGTGAGCCAGATCTCCACCATTGCAGGTGGGTCAGGAAGTCGGGGACAGGACCCTTTGCTTCAGGTTTCAGTGTTGCAGACACAGTACTGCCGAGCCACAGCTAAGGTGCCTGTGAAACACTGTTCAGGCCAAGGTGCAGCTCAGTGCAGAGCCCTTGCCTAGCATGTGCTTCCGTCCCAGCACTACAGAGAAAGAAAAGATATGTTCACGCAAATGCTGCGTGTCGCTGCAGGTGTGTATAAACCTTATATAGCCTGTGTTTCTCCCCTTTTTCTTTGGTGCATAGGTGATAGAGTAGTAACTATGTGTCTGTTGACTTTTTTGTATGTGTGTGTGGTACTCAAGATTGAACCCATGGCCTTCACACAGATCTACATCCTTTTTTATTTTGAGACAAGGTCTCACTAAGTCCCTGAGCTGCCCAGGCTGGGCTCAGATTTATGACCCTCTACCTCAGCCTCCCAGAGTACTGGGATTGCAGGTGTGTGCCATCATACCTGCCCATTGACTGATTTTTTTTTTTTCCTTTTTTTTTCAGTTTTTTTGAGACAGGGTCTCGTTTTGCAATTCATACTGACTTTGAGCTCACTTTGTAACCCCGGCTGGTCTCAAGCTCAAAACAATCCTCTTGCCTCAGCCTCCCAAGTGCTGGGATTACAGGCATGCATCACCATGCCCGGCCTTGACTGGTTTTTAAATAACCTATGTTAGTAGTAATAAATTTATGTATGTATGTATTCAGTTCTTTGAGACAGAGTCTTGCTACATAGTTCAGGCTGGCTTTGAACTCACTATGTAGCCTAGGCTGGCCTCAAGCTAGCAGTGATCCTGCTGTCCCAGTCTTCCGAGTGCTTGGATTACAGATGTGCACTACCATGCCCAACAGTAATCATAAATTATGTAGGACAACTCTTAGGTGTAAAATGGACAGTTACTGCTACAGTCATCACAGAGGGAACCTACATGGGTCTTTGATTTTGTTGTAAACAGCTTTTCCAAAGCCCGTGCTTGCCACTTTTTTTTTTCCCTGAGAAATGGCCTCGTTATGTATATGCTGTCTCAAAAAACAAGAAAAACAAACAAACAAAGGTAATTTAGGGGCCGGGGATGTAGCTCAGTGGTATAGGTGCCTGCCTGGCCAGCACAAGGTCTTGAGTTCAATTCCTGGTACCAAAAAAAAGATTAATTTAGGGCTGGCCGCATTGATGCCCTCCAGAGGTCAAGATGCAGACAGGAAGAAGCAGAGGAGAGACCCTCCCTAGGGTTATTCCTACACAGCTCTACTGACGCTTCTTAAGTACTGACTGCCACCCTGGGCCAGAGAAGCTGGCACAGCTGGGAAGCTGCTCTCACCACGGCCCAGGTCCCTGTTAGCTGGTCGTGTAAGAGGCATGGGAAGTTGCATTTTGTGTCCTTGAGAGGCCGTAGGACAAAGTTACACTGAGGTCACCTTGTTTGGAATTCTGTCTGGAACAGAGCACAGTATAAATACATAAACATACAGCTTGGTGGGATGCACGGCGCTTCTGCTGATAGCAACAGGGAGAGAGGCGCCTGCGCGGCCACGCCGCATCTCCACCACTCCCTCCTCTCGCCTGTCCTTCCCTGGTCCACACAGACACGAGAACACAGGGCGGCTGGGAGGCCTGCGGCGCTCATGGCTCTGCTCGCCCCATTTTACCTTCCACCCTGCCCCGTCCTCGCGAGGACTCTGGGTCATTCCCACCTTTCTCTCCTGTTGATGCAGTCGCTCCCCTCCAGGCTGCGTCCCCTCCACGTTAAAACATGCAGGCGTCGCTCACATCCTGGCGAATCTTCCTCTCCTGTTTTCTCATCTTTCTCACTGTTCCATTTGGCACTGTCCACTCCGCCTCTTGCATAAGACTCCTGCTGCCAGGCATAGGTGAGGTGGAGGTGCATGTACACCACTAGTCCAGCACTGGGAGGCTGAGCCAGGTAGATCACAGGTTTGAGCTCAGCCTGGGTAACTTAATGACCTAGCATATCCTGTCTCAAAAAAAAATTCTTTTTAAAGGCTGGGGAGAAGTTGCTGTTCTATGGTACATACAGCAGGTGCTGGGCCCCCCTGCGGCCTCAGAGTGTGTGACAGGGACACTGAAGCCGCCTGTGTGTGAGGCTGGAGGAAGGCAGGCTCCAGAGAAGGAGAATTTCTTTGCCTGGAAAGGTCCCTTAGGTCCTGGAGATGTGACATCTCCACCATCCACGCATGGGACACTGTTTGACACTTTCTCTTATGTGTTGCTCACAGAATTATTTCATTCCCAAATCAGGGAGGGAACAGACCTGTGACTTCTGCACTTTCACACACACCCCCACGCGGGTGTGATGGTCAGGTGTCCCTCTGCACCTGGGGTTTGGCTTTAGGCTTTACACTGCTGTACAGCTGCTGGGCTTGGATTCGAGATGCTATTAGGATGACATGATGAGGAAGAGATTGACATGCAGTTGAATCTTTTCATTGTCTCTGTCTCTCCCCCTCCGTTTCCCTCTCTCCCTCTCCCAGGCTCGAAGCTGAAAGAGATCTTTGACAAGATCCACAGCCTGCTGTCTGGAAAGCCTATCCAGTCTGGTGGGCACTGCGTGTCGATCACACAGAACCCGCAGGGCCTAGACTTCGTGCAGTACAAGCTGGCCGAGAAGTTTGTGGTGAGGAACTGTGTTGCCAGCGGTGTGGGCGGAGGCGGCTAGTGCGCAGCGTTAAGCCTTTCGGTGTCGATGTACAGGTGAACTCATCTCTGTTCCCAGAAACAAGGCGAGGAGGAGGTGGCCTCCCACCACGAAGCAGCCTTCCCCATCGCGGTCGTGGCCTCTGGCATCTGGGAGCTGCACCCCACCGTCGGGGACCTCATCCTTGCCCACCTGCACAAGAAGTGTCCTTACTCTGTCCCTTTCTACCCAGCGTTCAGGGAGGGCATGGCTCTGGAAGACTACCAGCGGTGAGGTGGTTTTTCTCCTCCCTTTCCCTAGGGTGACCAGTGCAGTATAAATAGAATTGGGATTTGTTTTCCTCCTCCTCATGCTTCTCTGCTTCACCTGGAATATTTGGTCAAAAAATACAATGTATTTCATGCAAATGGACAGCTTTGGGATTTGTGGCTTTAGCCCCCAGTAAACCATTTACTTCGCTCTGGAAAATGCTGAATCTAGACTCCAGGGATCTTGGAATTGATCCCTGCTTTCATTTAATAGCTTTGCAAAATTGGGTAGGTAATCTAAGCTCTTTAGGCATCGGTTTCCTTATTTGTAAATGGGTAATGATATCTGTTACCTCCTGAGTTTACCTGTGAGCTTACCTTGCAGGGCTTCTATGCAGTAAATTGATCCTGGACATGAGTGTTTCGTAGGCAAAGCACTCTACAGGTGGAACAGTACATAGCAGTGTGAAACAGGAGCAGTAATACTCCGAGCTGTTTTTTGATTTGTGACCCTTGTTTTGGCCTCATCTTTGTGATTTTTTTTTCCTACACAGAATGCTTGGCTACCAAGTAAAAGAATCCAAGGTGGAACAGCAGGACAACTTTCTGAAACGCATGTCTGGGATGATCCGTCTCTATGCTGCCATCATCCAGCTCCGGTGGCCCTATGGGAACCAGCAAGCTGTAGGTCCAGAAGGCTTATCGTGGATACTGAGGGGTTGGACTGAGAACATATTAGCGTGTCCTGCCCTTGATGTCAGTCAGCTTTCTGTTACTGTAACAAAACACCTGAGGGAAGCAGCTTCTAAGGACAAACAGGTTTCAGAAGTCTCTGAAGCTCAAGGTTTTAGAAGTCTCTGTCCATGGTCACTTGGCTGATGGTAAGGTGGTAAGACAGCACCTTATGGCAAGACAGCACCTTATGGCAGGCGTGTAGATAGAATAAAGCTGCTCACGTTAGGGCAGCTGGGAAACAGAAGTTAGAGATGTCTTGGCGTGGTGGCATACCACCAGCCTGTGCAACTTAGTGACCGCGTGATATCCTGTCTCAACATGGTAAAAAAGGGCTGGGGATGTAGCTCCATGAAGGCCCTGAGTTCAATCCTCAGTACCACAAAAAGGCAGGGGAGGGTAAGGTGAGGTTCCAGTATCCCCTTTTAAGGCACAGCCATGTCACCTAACTTCATCCAACAGACCACGCCTTGAAAGGTTCCGCCACCTCTCGGCAGTGCCCTGGGCTGGCTGCCAAGCATCTCACTTGGAGACCGTGACATCCTTCAGACGCTCAGAAGTGGGAAGTAGACATGGATTGTGAGGAGCTTTTGTGGATCAACAGAGCCATTTGCTCAATGGCTCATTCACCGGGTTCCTCAAAGAACTGATTTTATAACAGAACTTACCAGAGGAAAGGCTGTTATTTGTCAATAATAGGCTTGCAAGGATTTTATTTACTAATTTTTGGCAATGCTGGGGATGGAACCCAGGGCCTTACCTATGTTAAGCAAGTGCTCTGTCTCTGAGGTACCTCCCAGCCCTGATTCCCACCCTGTCTTCTCCCCGCCCGCCC